TGAGTGTGTGTGTGTGTGTGTGTGAGTGTGTGTGGGTGTGTGTGTGTGTGTGTGTGTGTGTGTGTGTGTGTGTGTGCGCGCGCGCGCGCGCGTGCCTGTCTGTAGTTCTCTTAATCCACATCTCCTCTCCAATTTCTCTGACCTGTTAAAAGTTGGCTTTCAGCAGTAAGACTGGTAGTTTCCTGATGAAAGACTACACTTCCCAACTTCCCTTGTGGAATGTGGGAGTTATTTTTGCCCTTATAAGGGGCCACATCCCATCTTCTAATGTAGGCATTTTGGCCACTCGCACATATGGGTCACAGAGACACCCCCTCGCCATGAATAAGCATGGTCCATCTAGGGTCAGAGCAAGCCTCTCTTTCTGCCTTCCATCTCTCTCCAGCTGTCATAAATTAACAGAGATGAGGAGGGAAAGAGAGAAAACAAAAATGAAGAGGTAGAAAGCACAAGAGCCCAAATAGAACATAAAATGGATTTCTAAGACCTTCATCTGCCTTTTGATTGTCTATTCCTAATACTTAGCCAACAGAGTATGGTACAACTACCAGGAAGACAATTACATTCTGCTGGTTGACTTTCAGAAGAAAGAGACAGCATTATGGAGGAGCTCAGGGGTCTTAAGGACAGGAGGCAGTTGGGAGAGGGGTCTGGAGGTAGAAATCCTTCCCTCAGAGCTAGCCTCATCTTCCACGACATTTAGCATCTTTTCCAATTCAATACCAGCAGTGTCTCCCCACCTCCACCACTCATCCACACAGAGTATTCTCTTATGGAGAACCAGAGGTCTACAAACAGGATGATGTTGGAGTTGGTTTCCTGGGCTTTGCCCTCTGCAGACATTATTAATTGAATACAGAGTTCTTTTCTTCAGAGGCAAGGTGATGATACAGTCTGGGACTCTCGGCCACACTTTAGGAGCCTCCACTCACCAGAAGGGGCTGCCTCTTCCCATAGTGCTGAATCTGTGTCAACCTCCAGGGGCTGGGAAATCTTCGGAAAGCTTTAAATGACCACATTTTTGTGCTCCTATTTTTTCCTAGGGCAATCTTCCTGAAACGGGCTTTGAAGAAGTGAGTCATCCAATGCATTCTCCTACAAGCCAATGTCCTTAGTGTCCAGACAGGCCAGTCGGGGATTCAGTATGGGTCCTAGATACTCCCATCCACTACTAGGCAAGGCAGGCTCTCCCTCAGGTATGTTTCTTTGACTGCCCTGACCTTTGACCTCCCTTCTTCTGGACCCCAATTTGCACTTATTCCTTTACCCACAAACTCTTTGGCGCCCTTGCTCGAATTTCTAGCCTAACGTGTCAGCTACACACTAATTAATGATTCAAACTTTTATTTCCAGCCCAAGCCTTCTTACTCCATTGATTCACCTGCCCTAGCAAGATGTCTTAAGACAGCTCAAATCCAACATCGCTAGATCTAGGTCTCAAACTGGTGATCCACCTGCCTCTGCCTCCCAAGTGAACTGTCATCCCACCCAGCTCAGAAGACCTGAACTCTTTGTTTCTGTTGAGACACATCTCACGTTAGTCCAGCCTGCTGGGAACTCTCTACATACTTAAGGATGACCTTGAATCTCTGATCCTCCTGCCTCGTCTCCTGAGTTCATGCAGTGGTGGGAATGAACTCTGGGACTTTGTGCATGCTAGGCAAACACTCTTATGCCAGCCTCAGACCTGAATACTTAACAGTCCACGCCATGCAGTCTTCCACACTGACAGCTCCAGCTACAGAAACTCAAGTGGAAATATAGAGTCTTCCTTGACTCCCTTTATTATCTCACACCCCACATCCAATCATTCATAAAATGCCACTCCGGAACAGAGCTTCAATCTATTTGTTTTTCCCAACTCCATCACTGTCAAGGCGATCTGAGCCACAGATTATTCCAACAGCCTCCTGGCTGTTCTCTCTTTCTGCTCTGAGCCCTACAATCCACTCTGATGCAGCCGCCAGAGCAAGTCTGATAACTCTGGTGATGCCATTCCCAAGCCAGTGGCCCCAGTTTCTAAGGGACCCGTGTGGGACTGGACTCATCCATGCATTGCCTCCCCCAGTCTCCTCCTTGACTCCGTCAGGTTGCCCTCACATACCTAGGGCCCTTGGCTAGGTAAGACCCCAGTATCTGCATAACCACTCCCTTACCTCTTACTAGACAGCCTAGGCTGGCCTTGAGTTTACAGCAATCCTCCTGTCTCCGAAATACTGTGTTTGGTTTGTTTGTTTTTCAAGACAGGGTTTCTTTGCATAGCCCTGGCTGTCCTTACTGAGCTCAACTTGACCTTGGGGATGATACTCAGTGATGGAGTGGCAGTGACTTGTCAGCACAGGCAGTCACACCTACAGGTCCTAGGATTTGGAGGTGACATAGTGTATGAGGTTTCCTCCTTTCTCCCGCTCCAGGCTTCCCCCCTGCTGAGCAGAGCCCCTATCCCCATGAACAAGGCCCTTTGCCAGGGAGAAGTCAGCGGCTTCCCTTTACCTTTCCATAGGTGGCCTCTTTGGAGAGGAGGTGGTGGACGACCTGGAATCTACAGAGTCTCTCCTGAAAGACACAAAACTGGAGATGATGCGGTCTTGTAGGCTAGGAGCAGCTCTGCTTTCCTGGGAGAGGAACCCCTGGAGCAAGGCCTATGGGATGAAGGAGCCTCCCTAGGCCACAGTGGAGGAGGTCCAGAAGTGCCCACCCCCACCTGACAGCAATACAAGGGAGGAAACAGATATCTGCAGAAATTTTACATTCTTGGGAGGATTCTCCCAAGAATTCTCAGCAGGTCTCTCTCCTGCTGCCAGGCAGGATGGGCTCTGGGGTTGTTATATGTATCCGGAGCTGGAGAGACTGAGATGGGCTTCAGCCTCCCCTGCAGGCTGTTTGGAGGTGGGGAGAAGCACACAGGCTTGAGCTGAGTACAAATGGAAAGTGAATACAGCAGGGGACAAGATAGGGTCCGTGCAATGTCCAAAATCTTATAAGAAAACAATGTTCAGGAGGAAAAAACAAGACAAAATTTGCCCAAATCCTGTAACCACCATGCTGTTAGTGTGACAAGGTTAGAGGTTAAAACAAAAAGTCTGCCGGGCATTGGTGGCGCACGCCTTTAATCCCAGCACTCTGGAGGCAGAGGCAGGTGGATCTCTGTGAGTTTGAGACCAGTCTGGTCTACAAGAGCGAGTTCCAGGATAGGCTCCAAAGCTACACAGAGAAACCCTGTCTCGAAAAACCAAAAAAAAAACCAAAAAAAAAAAAAAAGTCTTCACTTTCCAAAACTCACTAAGCAACTTGTGATCTCTAATGTCCTTTCCTTTTTTTTTTTTTTTTTTTAGTAAACTGTAGTTTCACTCTCATCTCACCTAATTCTCCTAATTCCACAGCTCACAATTTCCAGGATACAGCATAACTTACTTCCTTATTATATTTACTATGTAACAGCCCTTCATGAAAGTTACGTAAGAGCAGTGTGTGTGGGGACTGGGCAGGGCTGGACCTCAGTGGTAGAGTGCTTGCCTAGCATGTGAAGGCCCTGGGTTCCATCCCCAGCACTGTGAAGAGAGGCAACAAGGGACAGGGAAGAAGGAGAGGGGAGGCAGGGAGGAGAGGAGAGACACGGGAGATGGAAAAGAGGAGGGGAGAGGAAGAGGAGAGGAGGGGAGGGGGAGATGCCAAGCCTGATGACCAAATCCACATGGTAGAGGGACAGAATTGACTCCTACAAATTGTCCCGACTCCACAAGTACACACACACACACCACTTTTTTTTTTTAAAGTTGTGCATTGAAGCATTTGAAAGATTCTGATGGTGTGTATCTGCAGTGTGGCAATATCTACCACCAATCTATTAGCTACCAAGTGGCCAAACATAAACCCCAGAAGGCAGGAGAGCTGCCGGTTACAGGGACTGAGGAAGATGCAGTTACTTTTGAAAGTTTTTCTTTTGAAATGGGGGCTCACTCTGTCACTCAGGCTGGCCTCCAACTCCTGTCTCAAGTTATTCTCCTGTCTCAGCTTCCCCAACACCTTAGCTATATATCTATAAAATTACAAATGTGGCATTTGTGTCTTGTCCATTTGCTTTGGGAACGCCTGGCGAGGGTGGGCAAGAGGAATGGGCATGGAGTTGAGATCTCTCTGAAGAGGTCCCTCACATAACAGCTGCGGGATCTGGTAGTCCTTACTCTGCTTCCAGGTAGCTTAATACACAAGGCAAGTAAATACTGAATCAATTACTTCCCCTTCTCAAAGGACAGACAAGGTCCTGGCCCCACTGGCCCTGCAGAACTGACAAAGATGGGATGTGGGCTGGGTTACCAGGCAACATCACGGCCAGTGAAAATGACTTGGTTCATAGAGTGTGTCTAGACAGGAAAGGCTACAAACAGACTACAGGTAATTAGTGGACAGCCACAGCTTTCGAGCAGAGAATCTTGTCAGTGGTGACTGCTCTTGTTAGATACCAAGTCTTTGCTGATGGGACAGGGACATGGGGATCCCTCTAAGCAAGGGTTCCCTCCCATTGTGGTCTTCTTTCTTTGTACCCAAGGGGCTAGAGAACAGCTGTGCTGTCTCCTGTGAGAACCCCATTTGTTATTTTAAGGCAGTGAACTTGCTAAGTGATCAAGCTGGCCACAAACCCATGATTTCCTGCGCTGACCACCTGAGTGCCGTGTTTACAGTCATGTGCCAGTGCCTGGCTCCTGTGAGTGTCTCAGGGGTTATCAATGCCGGGGCTGCATGGCTGGCATGCTTCCCATCCCTTCACCTTTCTATGGGAAGCCAGTGCCACGTGACGAGGTCAGACTGAGCCCAAGACCCCACTGGTGGAGACACTAACATCTACCTCTGAGGTCTGTACACCTTCCAGAAATCCTCTCAACAGCTGCTGATAGAGGATGTGACAAGCGCGGGTTTCCTCCTCTCCACCCTGGGAAAGAAGTACCTGGCTTTGGGCTCTCCCCCTCCTTTCTTCCTAGATGGAGAAAGACCTGCTTCCGGTTTCCAGTCTGAACAGCCAAGCCCTTTTTCTTTCTTCTTTGCTTTGTCTCTTTCTTCTCTTTCTCCTTTGGTAGTTCGGGGAGAGTCTGAAAATGAAAGAGTGGCATTGTCTCTCCACTCAGCACCTTCTCGGGACAGCCCTGTGTGACTTGGGGTACTGGGGAAATAAAGGGACAGGACTGGGAGACAGCTGCATGCGTGCCCATTACGCACACACACACATGCACACACACATACATGCACTCATACACACATATGAATGTACATACAGAGATGTATATATAACATGCACACCTCACATGGGAACATGAACACAGAAGTACAGCCATCTATGCAGAGTCAGGCAGTGTCCACACACAGTCACACAAACAGAAACATATAGACACATTCCAGAAAGGTCAGAAGCTACACATAGATTTTACACTTGCGCACACAACACCGAGAACTCCATGATTCAGGGGCCACATGCCAATGACGCAGGCTGAGCGCCTACTATCAGCCAGTCATGCCCTCTCCCGTAGGCTGGGAGAAAGCCCCATCTCCCATCTGTCTTGCTCCCTCTCACCCAGCAGCCGCTTCCAGTTTTTAATGAGGACTTTGGCCAAGGACACCACCTCCTTGTCTGAGCAGTGCTTGCGAACTCTGTTGACGGCGACTCCGATCCTGGTGGTCTGTGAGAAAAGGATTAAGAGAGCTGCCGCATATGACCAGCCACTCCTTCTGAAGGGAGTGGCATCAGCTCAACCATCACTTCCCTCCAACCTAGACCTCTCCAGGATCCTTGCTCTGACCCCGAGTCATCTATCCTAGAACTAGACCCTGACCTGCTACCCTGCCTGAGACCCAAGCCTATACTGATAGACAGCATAGGTGGAGAGCTTGGGCGGGGTGGCTGTTGACTGTAATTAGAACCCACTAGATACTTTGAGAGAAAAGTCTTGACTTAGACCCACTTATGGTGACCATATCTTAGATCTGCGCTTGTCTTTCAGGGCCAGAAGTCTCTGGTAAAGTTTGGGGGTATGTGGGAAATCTAAGGAGGATTTGAAAGCAGGGGAACATCTCCCTTTCGCTGGGCCATGGGCCACTTGGGTCCCACATGCCTCTGGCTTTGGGTAGAGATTCAAGGAAACCACCTTCTCCCTAAACCCTAGGACTCTGACCCAAAAGCCTGGGAAAGAACCTACCCTCCAGAGATGCTCACCCTGCCCCAACTCCATGCCTGCATCTTGTCCCTAGAAGGCCCCTCAGAAACCTCCACAGGGTCTTTCCCTCCCTCCCGCAGAGGCACCACTCCAAGAGCCCCGCCCCCAACCTGCAGCAGCTGGATGGACATCTGGCAACTGTTCAGCTTCTTCAGAAGGTCGAGGGCCCCTTCCTGTGGGAAGTCACAAGAAGAGTACTGAGGCACAGGTGATGCCACAGGCCTCCCTGATTGCTGTGGGCTGGTCCAAGGACAGGCGTGGGCACGCAGAAGGAGAGAGAAGGGAAAGGTTCTCATCCCAGAGCAGTCGGCTAACTGCGCCTCCCACCACTTCCCTCCACTGAGCCCTTCGCCTTCTGCCCAGCGCGCCCCTGTCTTGTGTCTGTCTCAGAATGGAATCACTGCCTGGCTTCCACAACTCCTTTTTTCCTCTCTCAAGGACTAAGGGATTTTTATTTTGTTTGCTATTGGGGGAGGTCTCGTTATGTTGCCTAGGCTAGCTTAGAACTCCTGGGATCTTCCCACCTCAACCTCCCACAGCGGCTGGAGTTACACAGGCTCATGCTATTGCACCTGGCATTTTGGGACTTTTAGATTAGCTTTATGGAGGTATAACTGACATGCCGTAAGCCACATGTAATGTTGTATACAACTGTATGCGTTTTGTTTTGTTTTGTTTTGTTTTGTTTTGTTTTTGTATCTCTATCTCAGTGTGGTGTGTGAATGTATATTCACATTGCTTGGGTGTGTGTACATGTGTGTGGATGCCTGTGTGGAGGCCAGAAGCTGACCTCTGTCTTTCCCTGGCACTGTCTACCTTATATATTGAACAAGGTCAACTGATCCCAGAGCATGTCCATCTGGCTAGTCCTAGATAATCAGCTCGCTCTAGGGATGCCTTGTCTCTGCCTCCAGAACATGCTGAGAGTACAGGTGGTCATCTGATAGGTGCTGGGAACTGAAGTCCAATCTTCAAACTGGTGAAGCAAACACTTTATCTGCTGAACCATCTCCCTAAGCCCTAAACTGGTTAAGTGGTTTTTTTTCTTAAATTTAAAAATGTTGAGTTATGTATTCCTATGCATAATTTAAATATTTTAATTCATCTTAAATGTACATTTTGTCTACATGCACGTGTGTGTGCCACATGTGTGCCTGGTACCCATGGAGGTCAGAAGAGGGCACCGGACCCGCCCATGGACCTGGAGTGACAGATGGCTGTAAGTCACCATGTGGGTGCTGAGAACTGAACTGGTGTCCTCTGTAAGAGCAGCCAGTGCTCTTAACCACCGAGTCATCTCTCCAGCCCCATAGGTACGTTTTAAATTATGTGTATGTTTTTACTTGTATGTCTCTGAGTGGATCTGTACATGTGAGTGCAGGATGTCATATCCCCTAGAGCCAGAGTCACAGAGTTGTGAGCTGCTCAGTGTGGGTGTTAGAAACTGAACTCTGGTCCTCTGAAGAGCAGTATGTATTCTTAACCACTAAGCTATCTCTTCTGCTCTAACCTCTGAGCCATCTCTCCAGTTCTAACCACTGAACCATCTCTCCTGCTCTAACCACTGAGCAATCTCTTCAACTTCCCTGAATTGATATACTTTTTGTTTTTTAAGACAGGGTTTCTCCATGTAGCCCTGGCTGTCCCAGAACTTACTCTGTAGACAAGGCTGGCCTTGAACTCAGAGATCCACCTGCCTCTGCTTCTCAACTGCTGGAATTAAAGCCATCTCCCAACTCTTGAGTTTGTACTTTAAGAATATATTTTCATGTATTTATCTTGTTGGGGGAAAGCAGGCCATGCATGTGCCTGCCAAGGTGCCTGTGTGGAGGACAGAAGGTACTTGCTGGAGTAGGCTCTCTCCTTCCGCCATGTGGGCACCAGAGATCACACTCAGGTCACCAGACTTGGCAATAAGTGCCTTTACAGACGACCCCATCTCTCTAGTTCTGACACATGCATAATCCCATGAAACCATCACCACCAAGAACATGGACGTCACGCCAGAAAGTTCCTTGGGTTCTTCGTAATGGGTGCCTGGTATCACCACCAATGTCACAACCAACATTCTCCTTTCATAGCTGCAGGTGACTTGTGTGTGTGACATGCACATGATAGGTGGGCTTTTGGTGGAAACCAGAGGTCAGTCTTGTTTTTTTTTTTTGTTTTTTTGTTTTTGTTTTTTTCAGGTACTATTCACCTTGTTATTTTGAGACAGTCTCTCTCAACAGAACCAGGGGCTCAACAGTGAGGCAAGGCTGGCTGGACCGTGAGCTCTAAAGATCTACCCATCCCCAGCTCCCCACTGTCGTGGATACAAGCATGTGTCACTATGTCTGGCTTTCTACATGAATGCTGGGGCTTGAATTTGGGTCCTCATGGTTGCACACCAAACACTTTACCAACTGATTATCTCCCCAACCTTGACTTTGTTTTTGTTAGTTGGTTGTTTTTGTTTTTTGAGATAGGTTCTCTCTATGCAGCCTGGCTGTCCAAGAACTTGCAAAGTAGACTACATCGGTCTTAAACTCACAGAGATCCTCCTAAATACTGAGATTAAAGGTGTGTGTCACTGTGACTAGGTCTAGACTTTAAATATTTTAAAATTTTGTATACAGTGTTCTGCCTGCATGTATGGCTTCCCACCAAACAAGGTTTCCAGATCTCATTACAGATGGTTGTGAGCCACAATGTGGTTAGTGGGAATTGAACTCAGGACCTCTGGAAGAGCAGCCAGTGTTCTTAACCTCTGAACCATCTCTCCAGCTCCTAGATTTTGTATCCTTAAGGATTTTTGTTCTCCCACAGGGTCTCAATATGTAGAGCTCAAGCTGGTTTCTCCTCCATCAACCTCACAAATGCTGAGACCAAAGGCTTGTGCCACCATTTTAAGCATTTTATATAAAAAGTGTGGCATAAGCATTTTTTGTTTGTTTGTTTTTCGAGACAGGGTTTCCCTGTGGCTTTGGAGGCTGTCCTGGAACTAGCGCTTGTAGACCAGGCTGATCTCGAACTCTGCCTCTGCCTCCCGAGTGCTGGGATTACAGGCGTGCACCACCAACACCCACCCACTGACATAAGCATTTTTTAAAAAATTATTTACTTACTATGTAGGTCGTGTTTTGCCTGCAAGTTTGCCTGCAGGCCAGAAGAGGGCACCAGATCTCATTACAGATGGTTGTGAGCCACCAGGTGGTTGCTGGGAATTGAACTCAGGACCTCTGGAAGAGCAGCCAGTGCTCTTAACCTCTGAGCCATCTCTCCAGCCCCCAACAGTTCCTTTTTTCTACTGAATAGTTTTCTATCATGCATATCTGTTCATCTTATGGTATAAAACACTTAGAGGAATTGCTACTACACAGTAAGAATCCAGTGGAAGGAACTTCTGGGTCATTTCAATGGAGGAATACTACAAAGACAGCTCCTACGGACATTTTCCTTCAAGGCTTTGGGATGTGTTTGGAAGCAAGGTCTCCCTACCCTAGGCTGGCCTTGAACTTGTGATCCTCCTGCCTCAGCTTCTAGAATGCTGTCAGCCCTCCCCTTTGAGTCTTTGTGGTTTTTGTGGGTTTTTTGTTTTGTTTTGTTTTGGATTTTGGTTTTTCTAGACAGGGTTTCTCTGTGTAGCTTTGGAGCCTGTCCTGGAACTCTGTAGATCAGGCTGGTCTCAAACTCAGAGAGATCCACCTGCCTCCCGAGTGCTGGGATTAAAGGCGTGCACCAACAATGTCTGGCCCCCTTTGAGTCTTTGTATGGACAAATTTCATTTCTCTTGAGTAATGAGAATCGCTCTCCTCTCTAAAGTCAGAGTTCTGATTGAGAGTCAGTTGCTCTCTGAGTAAATAGATGCAAGAATGAATGACACAGGGGCTAGAGAGGCAGCTCTCAGTGGTTTGAGCACTTGCTGCTCTGTAAAAGGACTCAGTTCCCAACACCCACAGAATGGCTCACAACTGCCGCCCTCTTCTGGTCTCCAGGGGGCACTGCAGGTATGCGGTACCCAGATAAAACCACAAGCAGGCAAAATTCCCATACACACAAAATAAAAATAAGTATTTTTAAAGATCAAACGAAGTAGAAAGCAGAAAGAGAAGAGAAAGAAGAAAGCTCACAGTTGAAAATCTGTCTGCCAAGTCCTCAGCACCTTCAGCCTATTTCAGCCTTCTCTTTCCTAGTACCTGCATCATAGAAGCCAGTCCTGTGGCCTCTTAGCTTTTTGGCTAAGTCTAGTTTCCAGAAGCCAGCCCTGGCTATCTTCAGATTAATTCTCTGAGGAACAGGAACTAACTATGTCCTGTATGTCCCTTGCCTGGTTCCAGCTCCCAGCCTCCCCTTGCCAGGACCTGGACAACATCCTACTAGCTGCCCTCTGTTAGTCCTTAGCCTCTTTTAGCACTGGGGTTCAGTGTTTCCGGAATGACCCGCAGATGGGTGTAGATATGAACTGGTAGGTACACAACTCCATGCTTAACGTTAATAAAAGGCTTACTAAGTGCTGCAGCACTTCACCCCTTGACCTGCACTGACTTCTCACACGCAGGAGATGGGAAGGTAGTTCAGTCAGAAGAGTGCTTGCTTCCCATGCACAAAGCTTAGACACTGTGGGCAGCACAATAAAACAAACACCAGGGTGGTAGTTCACAGCTTGAATCTCAGCTCTTGGGAGGTAGAGGCAGGAAGAGCAGAAGTTCAAGGTCATTTTCAAGTACATGCTGCTTGAGGCTAGCCTTCTACATATAAGATCCTGCTCAAAAACAAACCACCCACCCACCCCTGAAGGCCCTAGGGAAGTGGGTCCTGTTTACTATTCCACTTTTACAGAATTAACCCATTTCACAGAAGAGGAAACCAAGAAACTTAGTAAAGAGCTGGGCTGGGCAAGGAGGTGGTTGTGCACACCTTTAATCCTAACACTCAGGAGGCGGAAGCAGGCAGATCTCTGTGAGTTCAAGACCAGCCTTGTCTACAGAGCAAATTCCAGAACAGCCAGGACTATACAGAGAAACCCTGTCTTGGGGGGAAAAGCTGGGTTGGAATGGACACTGAGCTCAGAGCTTCACATACTGTATTAAGGCATAAATCTGCCAATATATGCTATCATGGAATACCAACACAGGTAAGTGGAGTCACAAGATTGTGTATACTGATAGCCTGTTCCCAAGGAGGAAATCCCGACTCACAGCATTTGCTGGTTTCTGTGTTGCAAATCCTCCTCCAGAAATGAACCTCAAGCTAACTACATGCTGTTCCTGGACTGAGTTTTCTTTTACACTTGTTGTATGTGTGTGCATACATGTACATGTCAAAGCCTACGTGTGGAGGTCAGTGGGTGACCACTGCAGTCAGTTGTCTCCTTTCACCACGTTTTGTTTCTGTTGTTGTTGTTTTTGTGTGTGTGTGTGTGTTTTGGTTGTTTTTTCTCTTTCTTTCTTTTCTTTTTTTTTTTTTTTTTTTTTTTTTTTTTTTTTTTTTTTTTGAGACAGGGTTTCTCCTGGCTGTCCTAGAACTCCCTCTGTAAACCAGGCTGGCCTCAAACTCAGCGATCCACCTCCCCGTCTCCTGGGTGCTGGGATTAAAAGTGTTCATCACCATGCCCTGCTCACCACGTGTTCTGAACTTAGTTTGACAGGTTTAGTGGCAAGCATCTTTACCCAGAGAGCCATCTTGCTAGTGCAAGTTGCTGTTGTTGTTGTTGGTTTTAACCCCTGCCCCATGATGGCATATGGGGCAAAACTGTCAGGAGAGCCCTGTGAAAGCACTTCTTTTCATTATAAGCATACTACTGTTTTTTAAATGTCTGCTTAACAGTTTGCAAAATTCCTGAAAATTCCATAGTCGGTGTTAAACCATTTGCAACTCACCACTGAGTGCATGTTTCTGTACAACTGGGTCATATTGGAGAGTGACACCTATGAGCCTGTGTGGTAGGCCCCTAAGGGTGTGGGCCCCTAAAGGTGTATGCCAATCTCATGGTATAGTGAAGTCGCAGCCTGAAACCATCTGTGTCTCTTTGTCCCCATGTGATGATGTCTGAAGGCATAAATGAGGCTGTTGGCTTTTCTTTACCCAGTGAAGCCGTGTTGTCGACTTTGGGGGCATTCTGCTTTAACTCAAACTGTCAGAGTGCCATGCCTATCCCAGTAGTGCCAGGAGCTGCATTTCACACACAGTCAAATAGAAGTTGCTTTCGAGGCAGCATGTGTGTAGCTCTGCTGACATGTCATTATGTGTACGTATAGCTGTACACATTTGTTTAGCTGGTGCATGCTCATAGTATCTGACAAAGCCCCAAGTCACTGAATAAATAAGTTCCAGCCCTGAGCTGCAACGTGGAAGATCTGTCTTATTGCAGGAAGTAGTCCCTCTTGGACTAACCACCATTGGGCGGGCCCACTTTCACTCTCAGTGCAGGCCCGCCTTTCTCAGGCAGAAGCCCAGAGCTCTGTGCCTACCCAAACCCTGTTAGCATCCAAAGACTCCAAGCACAGATGAGGCTGTACACTAGCTCTGTCCTGTAAGGATCCTGTGGCCAGACATGCAGCTTTCCTAAACAGCCCTGGCATTTCCATGGGACCCTCATCCCAAAGACACACTATTTCCTCTTCCCATTTCACAGAAGAGGAAACTGAGGTCCAAAGAAGGAAAGCAGAGTGACTGCCCTAGGACTGTAAAAGGACAGAGAGGGAAGCCACTGCAGGTCCCTTAATCTTTCCAACCTGGTTGTCTTCCCTGGAGCCTCCAGAGTTTCCTCCTACCCCTAAATTTTCTCTTGTCACCCACAGACTTCCTTTAACTGGCCCAAGTCTGGGGTGAGCAAGGGGCTGGGCTTAGACAACCTGTCCACCTGACATACCATTCAGTTCAAGTTTCTTAGCTGGGCTCTGCCATGTCCAGCTGGGGAAGTGTCCTGTGACTTGAGGTTAGATTTTGCTGGCAACTATGGGAGAAGCCCAGAGCAACTAAGTGGAGACTGGGAGCTGAGGCTGGGCGCTGCAACCTCCGTAGGTGCAGGTGAGAGGCATCTTTCTGCATTTCCTCCAACCATGCAGAAGCAAGCCTTGCTCACCTCAGTCACCTGCCTCAGACTTGGTTTTGCACACCTGTTTCATTCATCAACCCTCTCTACTGCCCCCGGGCATTCAATCATCTTATAGATGAGGAAACCGTAGCTCTCATTATACCAACCCCACCATCTCATTGTTGCCCTGCAACTATTCCCGGATGCCTGATACTCCTTGGAGTATTTTTCAACTCTCCTGGAATGTACTGGCAATGCAGGACCTGGTGTAACACATTGCAAGACACTAGAAGGACCCCGCCGCAAGTCAAATTGGAGGGCCTTACCCACCCGGTTCCTTGTCTTCTCCCTTTCAGTCCACGCCCTCCAGAACTGGCACAGGCGCCAGCCACCAGCCTGAGGCAAAGATCGCTAGATAGATCAAACATTAACTTTCCGTGTGGCTCTCGCTGTGCGCTGCTGGGACCGAGAGATCAGCGACCCCCAAGCAGGGCTGAGGACCCTCCTGCTCGCACAGTTCCCTTTC